CCTTTGTAGCCGTTCCTGTCGAATGAAAAACCCAAAACAGAGACTGGAAAGACATCGTCTCTACGTAGTGTAAGAGTGAAACCAGAACGTCTGAAATCATTAAATACCATGATTGCCAATAGTACACCATCACCCAGCCAGCAAACCAGCCAACTGCCAAGTCCACCACCTTCTTCTAATACATCAATTTCAACGCCGAGTAGTACACCTTCTACCACACCCACGAATGGTACTGGAAGTCAAAGCGTGTTAGAGAGGCAGCTAAACAGCCCTCTTATATCGCAACAAGTTCCACCGTCGTGTTCGCCACCTGGTCTTCCGGTAACCACAGTGGTGACGAATGCCTCTACGGTTGTTACGTTGACGCCGCCGCCCGAGAAGGATATGAAAGAGATCAAATTAGATCCCAAGCAAACCAGCTTGTTGGCGCAGGGCAAGGAGAACATCCCGTTGTTCGGTGAAAAGTCAATTTTTGCGGAGAAGGCAATAGTGCCTCCCAGATCGCCTGAGGTGATCGATCTTGAAACGGAAAGCGACACGAGTAGGGATAAAATAATCATTCCCAGCTTCAAGAAGCGCAAACTCGAAATACTCCGCGAAGGTGGACTCGAGGTCACTGCCGTTGACTTGGATACGCGACCGAGCGTTATTCAAAACAATTCTCCTGCGCCAGCAACGATGAAATCGGAAGAAAAGCCACCGATATCGTATCCTCTTCCAGTCACACCCAATTCCATTCCCAAATTGATTTCCGTTACTGTGACACCTGACATAGGGCATATGTTAACATCCCCTCAAGAACATCAGCAGCATCATCATCAAGCACGGTTACCAACGCCGACAAAACAACATCCTGCTCACTACAATAATAACAACAACATCACAATGAACAACAATAATATGGTGAACAGTCGTGTAATAAATCTTGGCACTTCTAACAACGCCGCGTTGCTACAATTGTACGCAAACGCCAACGTCCCACCACCGGCGTCGTCGGGGTTGCATCAAGCAAATCATCGTTTCGTGCCGCCAACTGTTCCTAACGGTAGGATATTTCCGCCCAAGGTGACACAGTCGAGGTCGATATTCGCACACAACGAAAAGACGGTTTATGGAGATCCAAAAGAAATTCCTATCCCTCCAAAATATCGTCCCTCGCTGCATCGTTTGCAGCCGCATCCGATGTATAGTAATAACGATCCCGTTTACGGCGGGGTTCTCGACTTAACGCAAAAATCTAACAAGCCGACGTACCCGAGGCCGAGCTTAGAAATAGTGAAAGTACCTGTAGTGCCGAGGCCTAATCCATTAAACTTGGAGATGAGGAACTCGTCCACGCTTAAAGAAAAACCAACAGATTGTTCGAAACGAAGTACCTTCCCTGGTTATCAGAATGTACTCGACAGTCGAACCATGGCTTCGAATAATTTAGAAATTACAATCGTAAATCCTAAGCAAAAGAGTAATCACCTATGTACATCGGCTCCTGTCCGCGTACCGAGTCCATCTAGAAATAATTCAATACCTATGCAAAGAAGACAGCAATTGAACGGCAAGTATATGACAAGGAGTGAACCAATTTCACCTTATACACCTAGGAAACCGAGTCATCCTGTTATACCGAATGTACCTAATCTAAATCATCTAAATAGTGGAAATTATACTAGGATGGCTACGATCCAACAACAAAATACGATCGATAGGAGAAAAAACTTAGAGATAGGCGGTAAGGAGCAGCATCACCAGCATCAACATCATCAGCATCACCAACACCAGCAGCATCATCTTCATCAACAGCAACATTTACATCCTCATCCTCATCCTCATCAACATCAACAGCATCAGCATCAGCAACAACAGCATCAACAGCATCAACAGCATCAACAACATCAACAACATCAGCACCAACATCACCAACATCAGCAGCAACAGCGTCGAATCAGCGAGGGCGATAAATCATTAATCGCTCAACAACATCAGCAGCAGCACCAGCAGCAGCAGCAGCAACAACAGCAGCAGCAGCAGCAGCAGCAACAGCAACAACAGCAACAACAACAGGAACCAAGGCAAACCGAAGCTGGAAGAAGACACAGTGTTCCAAGTATACCTTCTGGTTTCGTACCTGCAGTGCCGCAAAACAATCCAGCTTACCTTCCGCAACTGCCAAATACGCCCGGCAAGTTCCTACCGATTTTAGACCCCATGTACTATTCCGCATTCTATAATGGTTTATTCCCCCCGCCGATTCCGCCCACGGCTGCAACGTCGTTTTTACCGCCGGAATTTAGTGCATACTATAAAGAATTACTTGCTTCCTCGCAACCAAGACTGGGGATGGCGGGGCAGCACCAGCCGGCTGCTCCAACGTCTAAGTAGGCAAAATGGGATCTCATGTAGGGTTTCCGATGTGTAGCGAACGTCGGTTTCATTTCTAAGGACAAAGATCCGTCGGATTCCTCGCTTCGAATTCTATTTTCATTGAAATTACTCGGGAGGACTTCCTCGTATGTGTCAATAAATAAAGACATTCAAGCGGAAAAAAAAAAAATTAATCAATGATAGGGGAAAAAAAAAAAAATGTGTATTTAAGTTATCGTTTAAGGATTTTTCGATGATCATTTAAATATACTGTATTTGAATACCATTCTAAATATTCTAATGAAGGTAGGGTGGAGACAGAAGTTTTTTCGTTCGAATTAATAAAAAGAAGTGACTATCAACGTTCGAACGTGGACGAATAAAAATATAATGGATACAGTAAACTAGGTGTGTACATGCATATATCATGCAATAAATTAGGTAATAATTTTTATATGTAACAATAATAACGAGATAACTTCATTGTAAATGGAAATCGATGAAACGATGTTTCGGTCTTATTTTAATTTTTATATATATAATAAATAATCGAGAGAATATTCGATATTAATTAAGGGGGAAAAAAAAAACGAGCGTACTAAAACACTGTGATAACGATTAAAAAAAAAAAAAACGGGGGAAAATTGTATATTAATTAAAGGGGAAAAAAAAAACGAGCGTACTAAAACACTGTGATAACGATTAAAAAAAAAAAAAAGGAAAAAAAAGAGAAATGCTGAAACTCATATTAGGAACGAATGAATGCAGTTGACTCTTTTTCATACGATAATACGATTTTTTTTTCTACGTTTATTCTTCGCAAAGTTTAAGTGTAATAACTACTGCAAGTGTCGAGTGTTAGGAATATCTAATAAATCAAGAAGTTCGAGTACTAGTTTTATTTTCTTTTTTCATTATTTTATATATTGTTTTTTTTGTAAAATGTACATTTTTCGAGAGATTAATAATTTGATTGTTCATCATAAGTCCGAATTCCTTTATTTCGAACGTGCGATGTGATAACTAAATAAATATATAAATAATTATAAAGAAATATATATATAAAATATATATATATATATATATACATATACATATATATAAATATATATACGTATACACGTATACGTGTATATGCGAGATCTTTAAACCGACGGATCGTCAAGAATGTATAATTGTTTATTGTATAACGACAAATCTTACGTAGTAACGATCGCGAGAACCCTATTCTACTGTGTAAGTTTAGACAATTTTCATTGTATTGACACATACATACCAATCACCACACATACACACAACACTGATCTGTAGTCAACTCTAACAAATAAGTGCACGTAAGCGATGATTATAGCAACGAGATAATGTACATAATGTATATAATCACGTATTCGTTAAGCTAGATAAATTCCCTGCATTATATCTTTCAACATTACGTAAGAGCGTTAAGATTTAGTAAATGTACAGGCTGTCTTATTTGTGTGGCCAACGATAGTCGTATCGCTACATATATACATATTTATGTATATATTCTTATTAGGGTGCAACGCAATATTTTACAGAATAATTCTAGAAAATTTCTTGTACATTAAACATATACGGAAGAAAAAAAAAAAAAAGAAGAAAGAAATGAATGAAAATAAGCGCGGATAATAAAAATCTTTTCATTTTCATCGACGTATATATATATATATATGTGTATATATATATATATATGCTCGCAAATATACAAACAGAGAGAAATAGAAAAGAGAACATGCGATTCGTACATTGGTTTCAATTAAAATAGCACCATCGCATAATTGACTGATTAAATAAACGCGATCGCTGCCGAGGAACGATCGAACATCGCGGGCCACCAACGTTTTGAAGAACGGAAGAATAAAAAGAAGTACCGATGGTATATCCATGTTAAATGTAGACATATTGATAGAATTTGTTCGTTTTAGGATACTCTGATAAAGGAAAAAAAAAAATAACAAAAAATAAACAATATCAGATTAACATTAAAAAAACATTCGTAACCCTAAAACGTACAAGAATGTAAATGGTCCTCACCGGACTATTCTAGCAAAAAAAAAAAAAAAAAAAATCAGATTTCTATATCGATGTCTTTCAACAATAAGTTGTTCATGTTTGGAAGTTCTTTTACGAAACAAGAGCGAAATGATGAACGTCGTTGCAACTTAGGATCGCGGTTTTTCGAAAGGTCTTCGAGTTAAGCCCGACGTATTGAAAATCATATAAAGTTTTTATTTCTTTTTGTTTCAATTTGATAATCATAATGCAAAAAGGAGCATGAATTATTTCTTTTTTTTTTTTTTTTCTCTCATGAATAATTGATGAATAATTTTTTTTTTTATGAGATATGCCTCGAGATGCTTCTCTTGTTCCAATGGTGCTATGTTGCGAAGTATTTCTAAAAAAAAATCTTAGTTTTTTTTTTCTTTTTTGAAAATTTATTAAGGAAAAATCGTCGGGAACCAACGAGATCGTTGACGTATTGTGAAAGAAATACGATCTAAGACAGACCTTCTTCACGTCCAAGTCTGATAAACCGTATTCGAAGGTAAAAAGACTTCTGATTTCAATGTGTGAGTGTATATCAAAAATAGATACGTTATTGTTGCGATTCAATATAAATTCCGCGAAATTAATTAAACAATAACTGAAAACAAAGAATGGAAGAAATAATATGACGAAGAGGAAAATTTTCTTTTTCTCGTAATAAAGATTAAAATAAAGAAAGAAAAAAAAAGAAAAGAGGAAGGGCTTGTACGAGAATACGTGCCATAAAACTGCTTAGATAGTGACTTTCAAAATCGAACGATAACGACGATCGTTTGTATGTGCTTTTAACGAGCCCTTTATCAATTAGAGAGACTATAAGATTGTAGAAGAAAGTTTAAAGGAAAAAAAGGAAGTGCAAAATTCCATATGGAAGATTTTATGTAATTAATTTCTGTTTTGTTACCGTGGTTGTTTTAATCTCGAATTATAGTGCGTGAGCGTTAAAGAAGAAATTGAAAGAATGTGCGTATGTATGTGAAACAAAGAAAAAAAGAAGATAAAGAATGAGAGATATCGAATCCGCGCGATCAGACGTGAATGTATGAATGAGAACACAGAGAGAAAATTAGAGAATGATTAATATTCAAAAAAAAAAAAAGAAAGTCTATGTTCGTTTTTTTGTTTTTCTTTTTGCGAGTTTTTTTCTTCATTTTGTATACTTAGCAGTGACTTTTTAGCGTAACCCTCGTTTCCCAATTTAATAATAATTATTATTACGATACAAATATTTTTTATTATATGGGCATTTCAGTTCCTAAATTGGAAATAAAATATCTACTACGAATGATTTCAGTTATTGATAAGGCTCAAGTAAGTGAATATGATTCCCTTCAAAAATTATATAATATTTGAAAATTTTAATTTAAAACTTCAAAATTTTTATTTGAATTTATAAAATAAAAGAATTTTAACCTTGAATATTATTGAAAGATGCCTGCTTTGATTCAATGCATAAAAAGTATTGCTCCATTATTTCAACCATAATGTTTATAAGTGATAAAAAAAAAAAAAAGGTAAGTATTATTAAAAATACGATATTAATTATGTATATTTTAAATATAGAAATTACGTACCTAAAATATATAGAAGGATAAAAAAAAATGTATTAAAAAATATTTTAAAAGTAAGAATACCTTCGATTTATGAACCTCGAATGCATCCTATACATAGTGCTATGAACTCCACGAAACAATCAAAATAAGAAGAAAAAGACATGCGGAATGTACAAGCATGTGCCGCGAAATTTAAAATCTCTTTACGGTGGCTATAAACTGATAACCTGTTTAACCAGTTCGGTAATAGTAAACGTAGAACGTTTCGTCTCACAAAATCTCGTTTCTACTTTATTTTTCCTACTGATTATTTTTACTTGGTATATATCTTCTTTCTATCTTATTATATTTCACGATAAATTTCAAAGAAATAATCTTTTTCTTTCAATTATGTCCTTTTTACTAAAAATAAAGTATTATATCTTTTTATTAATAAGACTAAATTTATGCAAAAAATTAAAAGAAAAAGTTAACGTACATACCTCTTTTAAAAAATATAGCGGCAATAAAAACTTTTTCGTCGTGAAACATAAATTTATCGATCATTTTGCTTATTTAATCTGAATATTAATTATCGCACGTCGGCATAAAGGTTAGTCTCACGATCGAAACTCGCAGTAACGCTGCTGGCAACCTTGTTACAAACATACCTAGACGAACACAGATACGTATAGATTGTACACGTAGCGAATAGAACAAGGTATGTAGTAGGATGGAATTGTGTTTACCTCTCCAACCCCCGACGACAATCGGCAAATACACTTCGATGTAGGATTGTCGTGCACCACCGCATACCAAACTATCTTTGTGTACGTAATGCACTAGCATAAATCTGCATTCAGAGACGAAATTCTCGAAAATTCGTATTTGGGCTTCACGAAAATTTAGTATTATATAACTTAATTCCACTTCGATTCGTTATTTGTTCGTGATGAATTTTATCTTTCGACTATCACAATTTCTTCGATACTCCCGCCAAATGATTCGGTTGTAGATGGCGTTGTTGCAACAGTACTTATTGAGTGTTCATAAATTAAGAAAGATCTAATCTAATGACGCTTTTACAATGGAACAGACATAAAAATTTTTTAAAGTTTTATTAAGAGTAATTTATATGTAGATTCTAATTTAATATATCTTTTAAACAATCTTTAAAAATTAAAAGAAGTAAATTTTAATAGATTAAAACAGTAAATTAAATTGAAATACAATAGTGTCCAAATTAATTACGAATCCTGAAATGAAAATATCTCGCACGTTACTTACTTTTCAAGTAAATATCAAATCCTCCTTGAAAACGTATCTTTAATGGCATCGTAAAAAACAATTTTATTTAAATTATATTAATTATATATTTTTATTTTAGAAAATAATTTTCATTATCTTTATATATTGACGAAACAGTATCGATTTTTACAAAATTTCATAAAAATATTATCGATACTGTTTACATAGAAATGAATATACTATAAAAAAGAAATACCCTGAAAAAAATAGAATTATAGAATAAATTGTAAATGAACGAATAATGATTATTGCACTTCTCAGTCGGTAATAATGCATAAAGCGATTCGTCGTGTGCACTGGTATCGATCGAGAGAACAGGCGCAAAAGATTATATAGACGTAGATGGAGGTGCGGGGTTTCTTGGACGCGGTTGAACATCATTGCGGTGACGAGCATGTCACATCTTCACGTTTCGTGCGAAGCAGAGAATGCACGTAACCGGCGCAAAGCTTTCTTCCGCCCGGTTCTCGTGAACACTTCACCTACCAGACAATAGTTTACCGTATCGACCTATTCTCCCTCCTTTTTCCTCGTACGTGGCTTCTCCCTCCGTGACTCGTTCTCATCTACCTCCTCATGCCACCCCGCCCTAACCAACCACGAACTTGCTCTTCTGGCCTTCCCTTCGTGCCTTTCCGTAGATTCAACTTGTTTCTGTGTGCCATGAACTCCAAAGCTTCCGAGTCCACTTAGGAACAGCTGCGAACAGTCCACGAGAAGAGTTGCTACCTTTCTAACTTTCCTTTCATATTTTTAAAAGCTCGATATTCCACATATCACGACGATCAGCCTTCCTATTTTTCTATTATCCTATAATTTATCGTTTCATAGAATTAATTTTGTTTCTATTATTAATTTAACTTCACTTTGTAATTTCAATCGAAATACAAGGATGATAATTAAAACGATCCTTAACTCTTATATATTCATAAACTAATTTTTATATTTTGCGTACATCTTCCTATATCCTACGATAAAACAAAAGAATTAAATTTTTTTTTAACGTACTAATTTTCATTAATATTAGTTGCATTAAAAAAAAAAAAGAATTTTCTTACTCATACATTCGCTATATTATAGATAATTATTGAAACTACTTTCAAATCTAATGGATGTTAATTTGCTCAAGATCGAGCGCGACTCGTAGACTTCCCTCCGCCGAGGTTTCCGAAGGTCGAGATTTGTTCCAAAGTTTGTATGAATGAAACTTATCCTAATATCTCCGTGAACAGCGTGCGGCTTTCTTCGGACAGTTCTGGCCGAGGAGGAGTGTCGACCAAAAGTGCAGAAAGTCCACGGGAGAGAGAGCACGTGCGAGCAAGGATTGGGTTTGTGTTTCAACTCGTCCGAATCGTTTCAGCTAGGGTCAGTGGAACGTGCTTGTGTACGAACTGTCCGCAACTGTCATTCACCTCGTGGCGAGCCACGCGTTCGCGGCAGATATTTCCGTACGGTTTGCGGGAAAAAGTTATCACCGAGACGGGGAAAAAATCGAAATGCCACGTCGGATGAGTTTTCGCGGCTTGAGAACTTCTCTTTCATTAGTGACACGGGGAAGGGATATTGGAATGAAAAAAGGAAGAGAGGAAAAAAAGAAATTCTTTTCCACCTCTACGTAATCGGAGAACATTAACAATCTTTATGCAGATTTTTAAATTTCCCTCTTTTTGTACGCCTTTCTGTTCTAATGATCCAAAGTGTATAAATAAAATTTGAAAGATCGCTACTTATCCCCGTTTCAAACTTTCTCGACGTATCATTCGCAATTTGCATTTGAAAACTTTCCTGCATTTTATCCTAAACACTCGACGAATGATATATATATATATACAAATAAGCAACCTACGAAAACTACATACGAATATCCGTTTTCACGCTATTATCGCATAACGATGCCAACATTTATCTCGAAAAGCTCTTTGCATTTGATGCAAGGAGGGAAAAAAAAAGAAAGAAAAGAGGAAAATAGAAGAAAAAGAAATTGACACTTGTTCGAATAGATTCCATTCGCGGTCATTCAGAGACGCACATTACACGTGTATCGCTCATTGAGCTTTCGCGTGAAAAGATATATGCCTCGTTAACGAAGCACGGCTGTTTAAAGCTGTTTCCCGTATAGTCGCGTGGCTCTTCGTTCGGCGACACGTCAACTGTTACTGAAGGCGACTTTTCATCGTCCTCGGGATATAAAAGGCGGCCATACTGACCCCGAATCCGCGGGTTATCGAATCGTGCCTTCACCAACAGATAGGCATCGAGATGCGTACTGACGTACAGTGTGCGAGCGTTGTTCGCGTGACAACGAGTCAAGCGTACTCTTACTCCCGTGGTTTTCTCGCCTGACAACCGCGACCTTCGAACGTTTATCGGTCGAAAAACTTTCTTCGTGATTTCGCCTCGCTTTCGAGTGAGAAGTCTCTCCTCTCGTCACACACAGTGAGTGATTTTATTCCTCGAGGAGATCTCAATGGATCGTGGCAAGAGCCGAGTGGAAATAATGGACGATGATGGAAGATGGAAAGAATGGAACTGAGCGGTATATTTTTGTCAGGTATGCTTCAAGTTACATAAATAGTGAGATTTCGAATTTTTCAATATTACTTTGCGAATATATTTAATGTTCGACTGGTTTTAAGTTTTAAGTAAGTTTGATTCGTTTGCAATGATTGTTGATTCGTTTGAATGAAGAGAGGGGGGGGGGGGGAAAGAAAAAAGAAAAAGAAAGGCGGTATCAAAGAACAAATCACGAGAATTCTGGTTATCCGTGGATAATTATTACAGAGTCGAAACTTCTGCTTTCTCCAAATTTCCTATCCATCTACCATTCGATCGTGTTTCCCATTCGAATTCATGTCAGTTGATAATAGCAACAAATATCTCGAGCTACGATTCAGCCTCGTAAAATTTTAGAAAGTGCTCCGGTCCGCATAACTTCCGGCCTCGTGAGCTAATCTTCTCCGTTTTCTGGTAGTTGGACGTGGTGGTGAGGTAGGTCGGCATAGTTTCCCGTTGATGCCGCCTTTCTATTCGAACGACTCGCCGGGGAACAAGGAAGCATAACGCGCGCCGGCTGCCGCGACGCCAGACGCGGCTGCATTCACGAAAAGGATGGAAAAATGAACGCGCGTTGCTTAGAAACGTAAATGCAGTTAAGTTCTGCCTGGATGCGCCCGACAGTTCTCAATATTCTCGATGCGAAACACGAGGCTACATTATACCGCTAACGATACCTTTTATGGAAGACAAGAATACTTTTAACTGACTTTTATTTATAGAGAGAGAGAGAGAGAGAGAGAAAAAAAACCTTTAAAAATCGAAGAACTTAAAAAAAAAGAAAAAGAAATAAAATAAATTTACTGAAATAAACTTCAACTTCGAACCACTTTACCAATCAAAGGAACGAAGTATCATATAACTTCGCTATAAAAAAAGAAAATTAATAAAAATAAAGAATGATGAATACGTGAAATCGAGTCGAAAAAGAAAGCTATCTTAAACGTAAACCGCATGAAAGTGGCGGTTTGAAGGTTAGCAGGCCTCCTGGCGTCGCATCACCGCCTAATAGAATGACTGGTCGTCTGACCACCATAACCTCGCCGACCCATCGACCCCAGCTATACGTTCCTGGGATAAACGCAGAGAGTAAGAGGCGGAGGAGGAGGAGGAGGAGGAGGAGGAGGAGGAGGTGGAGAAAGGTGCAGAAGGAGGAAGAGGGTGGGCAGGGTCGAGGGTGAACCCCTTATTGATTTTTAGGGTGACACTGTCAACCGGCGAGTGTTGAGTCCCCCCTCGACGGGAGGGACTTTGAAACGACCGAGGAGTGAGAAAAAAATGTGGCGGCCGCTGCGCCATTGCACGCGCGAAAAACATCCCTCCTCCGGTGTTTTCTCCTCCTCTAATTATAACGATAAATGATCGCACGATCGACCGAGATTTCGGTGAAACGGGAGATCTCGATTCGTTATTATCGCCGATCGTGTAACCATCCGCTAGAGTCGCGAAACATTTTTTCCCGTGTCGTGTAAAAGTGGCGAGTGCGACGTCGGCGGCGGCGGCGGTGACAGAAAAGAGTAACTGTGGCGAGGCGCAGTCCCGTTGCGGTCGGGGGTTCGGCTCTCGGCGCAGGGCCGTACGCATCCGTGGGCGACACTCCACGTGGAACAGCTGCCTCCTTGCGTCGTCTTGCATGTTTTACACCAACGTCTCGGCCAACACTCGGATCGTGGTTTAGTTCCCGTGAAACGATCGACGCGACGGTGGACAAAATCACGGCCGTTCCACACACTTTTTTCCCTCCCCCCTTCGTTAACAATCCGGTCAATTTTATTTATTTTGTTTATTTATTTTTTCCTTTCCCCTCCCCTCTCTCCCCTTCGCTCCCCTCAATTCGTATCACGGGTGTAGAGTGAGTCGTCGTCCATGAATGGGAAACGAGTGAAACGCGTGATGTGTTTTCCCGTGATCGTTTTTTCGTGCTCCTACGGTATCCGCGTGTGTGTTCTTTGTGCGCCACGTTTTCTTGGTTGCCTGTGCCGCCGCATGTAGAGAAAGTAACGAGTCGTAACTTTCGAGTGTTCGTGAAACGGTGCGCTAATAGGAGGATTACGGAAACACGGCGATGTGTTTCTTTGTCGCGCGTCAGTTTCTAGTTTGCCGCATAAGGGGGAGAGGATTGGATTCGAAAATCGAAGGGAGGAAGTGTGAGAAATAGTCGAGAGCGGGAGAGAGAAAGACGGAGAAAGAGAGAGAGAGAGAGAGAGGGAGAGAGTTGGTGTCGACGCGCGTTGGCCTATGCTCCCGCTTCTGTGTGCGATTCTTTTTTCCCACCTACGTATCTTGTCCGGTTTGCTTCTTCGATGCGAAACAAGGCACCGGCTTATGCTGTTTACAAATCAACGCGATTTACGTTGTTGCACGTAAACGTAACGTGTACACGGAGCGTTACTCGCATGCAACAGGCGACACCGCGTTGCCAAAGTTTCCTCTTGATTAATCGATCGGAAATTACAACCGATCCGAGTATTTACAAGGATACGAATTAATCGCGGTAAACGCGGCACGGATATCAAGAGAATCGAAGAAACGAAGCGTAGAGAAGCGTGACGCATTGGCGTAGAGCCGGCAAGGACAGTCGCGTCTAGGGAAAAATCGGGTGAAAAGTTTCGGGTGCACGCGCAAGGAATATCACAGCGGTGTAATTACGCGAAGGTAGCGCGCGGCTTAGAATCAATACGAACGGATTACTTTACGACGACGGTTTAACCGGGATCGAGAGAAAGCGTGAAGACGTGTACACGGAAACACACGCGTGTTAACCGGCCGAGATATTTTTCGACTGGTACGGTAAAGGTACGGGGCGAACGGCGGAGAAAAGAGGAGCACGGAGCTACGTGTGCCTTCATGGGGTGTGCTTTCAGTGTGTTTGGGCGGGGTGTGAGGCAGACGTTGCTGCCGCGTCGACTCATGCAGCCGGTCTGTTAAAAATGGCAGCGTCGTCCGATTTTCACGTATGGAATAACAATTGTTGGCTACGGCCGAGGAAGAAATCCAGTTGACATCCGGGCGCGGGCAGTTAGGAGTGGATAGTGAGTACCGAACACGTGGTCCGTGAGGGAGCAGCTAGTCTAATTCACTACTAGGTGCGTGTGTCGACTAGCTACACTCCTGGCGCACGTGCGTACGTGTGTTTCTTCGAGTCGTCGCGTACGGTGCACGTGTGAGTGACAAATGCGAGTGAAAGTGTCGGAGACTAGTGACTTTTTTTCTTATCGTCACGCGTTCCTCACAGACTTCTTGTATTTTCATTCGCGAAAGCTGTCTTGACACTTGAAACTTGACGTTTCGAAGCGTCTGTGTCGATACTGTCGCGTTCTTCGAGTGTTTACCATGTAAGTTCGTCGTTTCGTTTTCATTGATAAAAATCGATGGAGTGCTCGTATGTTGGACGAAAGACCGATTCTTTTTTATAATTCGATAAATTATTACGATTCGTTCGATGTGAATTAACGCGTGAATTAAAAGCTGGATAAATACAAATTCGAATGCTGTGGCGCCACCTGCGCGCTACGTCCCTGACGAGGGTCGTCTGTTGACTCTAGTGGTGTTTATTCGCGCTTGCCTCTTCTCTCTCTCTTACACTGAGTCATTTGTGTTTGGACGGTCGTGAATTTTTCTGCAATGTGACGGCAAAATGAATGAAGATTAGCGTGATGTCGGACCTGTGCACGCGCCTAAAAGTGGGTGCGCGCCTGGATCTCGACTGGAAAGCTGGTGGAACGTCTTGAAACACGTCGAAAATCAGCGTGAAAATGCCGGCAACGCGACCGTACAGGTGCCCATTGTTATCCTTTGCTTTCACGTTTTTCGATAAGACGATGTGTCGACAGACTGCGAATTCAGATTCTTGAAGAGTATCGTAATTCGTGCTTTGTGTACTTCAAGTGGCCTCGTCACAGTGGGACTCGTGAAACGCGTTCTAACCACGACATAGGTTAGGTTACCGGCACATAACCTTAAAGATATTCCAATTAATATTGGAATTATTCTATACGTAGGAATTGAAACGTAACGTTCTTGTGACCTCTTTTAATTGAGAATAAAGTGTGTCGACGAGGATTGACAATTTTCATCAAGTGCTGACTCCTACATAGTGGGTGATCGGTGCAATGGAATGAGCTGGGTGATCATAAGACAATGAAGGCCAATGGGACAAACAATGGTGATTTTCTTTTGTTACTTAGTTTCTTTAAATCTTTTTGAACATAATATATCCTATATTACTTTATATGTAAGCATCGATATGCATAGCATTCTATTAAAGTTGTTTACATTATGTTGACATGTTATCTATACATTAATGAGTCGTATACTATTATTTAAAAGAATTATTATATCAAATATAGATAAAATATGAATAGAATAACAATATTAGTTACTTAGATTATATAGAAATAAGCTTAAAAGTTAAAAAAATTCTTAAAAGCTTCGCGCACTATATAATAAGTAAAGTATTACAAAGATATTGCTCATATGAATATGCCCAATATTTAAAATTGAAACTTGAGCATCGAATAGACTCTCAAATAGCACTAGCTTCCTTGTTACATCACCGTAAATACTATTTTAACATTAATTCCTGTTTCTTTTGAATCGGAGTACCTTGTTACCCTAAAAACTAATATCTACCGATACGTACATCACTGTCCATCCAATATATAGCGTACATTCCTCTATTTCCTCAAGATTATATCAATCAATTCAATATAGAGGACGAATGTAAAAAAAAAATGTTTACATTTCCAGGCTGTAGCCGCCTAAACACGCCATTGGCAGCCACTACCACACTGGAGGATCCGGGA